TCTATGAATTAGCTTTTAGCTGTGTTTTTTAGCTCTATAAATTAGTTTTTATAGCTATCTTTTTAGTCTATAAATTTTTAGCTCTTTTTAGCTCTATTAATTTTACGGTGCTGTTTGCCATTGTCATATGATAGCATATATGGTGCTACTTGCTAATATTATGGTGCTAAGTGTTCTACTAAAACTTTTGTTGGACATTTTTACACACAAATATATTGTGACTAGTAAAAAGTGTATTGTTGCAATAAATTTTTATTGTAAAAAAGGAATATTTCAAGCTATTAACGTTTGGGGTAAAAGGCCCCGGGTAGGGGCGTTTTGCCCTAGCAATGGGGCAAAAGACCCACTCTATAGCAGTTTATAAAAAGCATATTTCCATTAAAACTTGAGTAGCCATTAAGAAAATAACTTTAGATACTTAAGTTTATTATGTATCTGAAATAATGGTAACATAAATTTCTAGATACGTTTATTGGATCAGTAAAAAAAAGACGAAATTGCTTATGGTGGGCTTTTTGCCCCACCTTACCCTACTGGTTTTTATAATTTTTGTTGACGCAATTAATGAACAGCCTTCTATTAAATATTTATTTAACAATTCCGTTATATATGTATTGTATTTATTATTATCATATTTTTATTTTATTCATTATTATTGGGTGTTAATTATACTTACTGGTACTATTATTATTACAATTAATTATTTTTATTATATACAATTAATTATTTTTATTATTGTTGTTTTGTTAATATATTGCTATTTTTATTATAACTATAATATATATATATATATATATATATATATATATATATATATATATATATATATATATATATATATATATATATATATATATATATATATATATATATATATATATATATGTATATTAGCTATATACGTTAATATAAATGTATCATACATTTACAAAAGTAGTGTTGGGTGAATTCTATTTTTGTTCAGAAAAAAATTGAATACTCAGATCTGAAAACAATTTCAAATCAAGATAAGACTATTCGAAATAAAAAAGTAAAAATTATTAAATTGTATCGCTCAGATTTTTAGTAAAAGAGTTTTGAAAATGTAAACAAATCACGCTTTTAACAGTCAAATAAACGTAGCAGAGAATCACAGTTTTTTATATACTAAAACATCTTTATATTGTTTTTATCATTTTTGAATCAACAATTTAATTATCTTTATTATTATTTGATTCTATCAAAAATATGCAAACTATAACTACTAAGTAAAACCTTGTTGTTGCTATTCAGAAAAATTTTTGTATCTAAAGGCCATCACCATCTTTAAAATTATAATATTTGAATTTGACACTGCGCTTGCGTTTAATAACTTTCCACATCTAAAAGACCGTGTGTGGAATAGACCCGTATTATACGGGTTATGGTAATTTCATTATTACTTTTTATACCGGTTGTAATAAATCAACACATTTCAAGCGGGTATTTTGAATATTATTTAGACGGGTACAAATATCCGAACTGCTGCAAAGTGGGCCAGAGGTGAGCAAAATTCCACAAAATAAACTTCTATTTGATTTTTAAGCTCAGTATATCAAATTTACCACGTGATGTTCTATTGTATGGTGTCTTGATATAATAATTTGTGTCATCACCTAAATTCTTATATATATATATATATATATATATATATATATATATATATATATATATATATATATATATATATATATATATATATATATATATATATATATATATATATATATATATATATGTATATATATATATATATATATATATATATATATATATATATATATATATATATATATACACAAATTATGTTAATAAAGTTCAATTTTATTAAACATTACATGTTTATATTCATAATATCAAAATAATTACATAAAATAAATATAAATAAAACCACAACTACCTGTGCAATCATAACTTCGCCTGGAGACCATATATGCCCATATTTAAACTCCCCAACCTCAATTATCTGTATTTAGACATAAAAATGTTCCATTTAACTAAAAAACCATTGTGATATTCCAGAACCATCCTTGACCACTCTTTAAAAGACCACCTTTACGGTTATGACCACTTTCAGAGATCAAATATGACCAGATTTGATTATCCTGATCTCAATTTTCTATACTTTTTTTTTGTATGTATTTAGGTGCTCCCAGAAGTCCTTACGGTCTTATCATAGAGCACCGCGGGAGAGCATTTAACAAGAAGTTCACGCCTCCTTCCGTACCAATGTCGCTTGTTGGGCAAGAGCTGGCGTCGAACCTGGGACCTCTGGGTTCTGAGCCAGAACTCCAACCACTGCGCCACGGCTGCTCAATTTTCTATACTTAGGCATACAAAATGTACCATCTAATTGAAAAACCATCAGAATATTCCAAAAGCACCCTTGACCACCTCTAAAATAATCTCTTGAGCGGTCATAGCCATTCCTAAAGATCGAATATACCCAGATTCGAATTCCCTAACCGAAACTACCTATACTTAGACATGCATTATATCTCATCTAATTTAAAAAAATTGGGACATTCCAGGACCACCCTTGACCACTTCTAAAGATAGAGTATGCTCAGATTTGAATTCCCTAACCGCAACTATTAAGATTTAGATATACAACATGCCCCATCTAATTTAACTAATTTAAATTTAACTATGAAGATATCCCATGACCACCCCTAAATTGACTACTGTATGGTCATGACACTTCAAAACTTAAAATGGAGGCTAAAAATGAAATCCTTGGCCCCCGAAACCCCTATAATCACGTATCATATGTCTATATTTAACCAATAAGTAGTTTTGCCATTTTTAGACAACTCTGGCCGACTGTGCGCTGTTTAAGGAATAAGTAAAAAGCTGTCGGAGCGGACTGACTAAGACCTTTATTTTACGGGTCAGCTAGTATTTATTGATGAAGTAAAAGATCTTATATAATTTTATTTGAACTGTCCCAATTTCTTTAAATGCCACCATTTTTTAACATTAGTAAATAAGAACTTTTTGCCTCAATACTTTGAGATATCGTTTTTGTTTTGAAAATGAATAATAATCTGGGAAGTTTTGAATGTTTGTTGGTATTGAAATACATGATACGTATAAGTTCGTGGAAATCGCAATTTACGGAACCAATTTTTATGCTAAAATTTTGTGCCACGTTTTTTTGACAATTTTAAAAGGTAAAGTCTAAATACTAGTAGTATAATACGGTGTAGAAAGTCAGTTATTGTTGTAGCTTTTCCTAAAAAAAAAAAAAAAAAAAAAAAAAAAAGACGAAAGCATATTTAATAATGATGTAAAAGATTTTAAAGCACTATAAACTCAGCCAACTCCTTTAAATGTCATCACCATTTGAACATTAGTATCAAATATCTACCAAAAAAAGGCACGTACCACCTTACAAATTAGTAAAGATACTTTGGATATTTAGCTCCCCATTCACCTCAAAGCGATTTTTCTAATTTTAGTCTATAAATTTTTAACCAGGATAAACAACTAATATATTTCATAGTTCATCGAATATTCTGAAAAGATAAACAGCTGAGCTTGTTTTTCTAGTTTTTTATTAATATTTTTTAATGATTTTTATCTTGTCTACTTTTCTTAACAGCAAGTAGAATTTAGTTATGTAAATTAAATACTTTTTTAAATTACTTAAATAAAAAGATTCCGCAATTTTAAAATTATTTAACTGCCAAAATATTATTTAATCTTAATTTACAAGCTTAAAGAGTTAGGGGTAAACTAAAATCCTACCGAATACTACATGCTACATGCTACATTAAGGTTACTACAACTAAAGACTTTAAATTTAATTTGTTATAAAAATTTATACAAATATAGCTATTGATTTTTTTGATACGATATATTAGAAAATATTATAAAATAAACAATATCTTTAAAAAAAACAACGATAAACGGTTTCCGTTGTTTAAAAATGTTTTTTTAATTTTTTGAAGAGTTTTTAGTGAAACAATATGGATAATAGTGTTATGAAATAAGAATTTTAACTTAAGTGCAACATAAATTCTGGCGGTCTCTTTGGTTCACTTTGACACTTTTTTTTTTACGTTATAAAATAAATATTATCTTAACTAAAATTATATTTATAACTTAATAAGATACTTTTTTAATAAGATACTTTTTTATGTTATATTTTTTAATCAAATATAACATAACAAAAAAAACAATTAAGACATGTCATATTTAAATTTTGTTTATTACTTTCGTTGTATATTGCCGTCATGTCTATTCCCTGTTGTTATGTCCTGTATTTGCCGTTATATACACCATTTGTAGTTAAGTCTGATATTTGTCGTTAAAAGTGATATTTGTTGTTATGTCAGGGTGGCCAATGATTTAAAAATATCAAATTCTAGGTCTATTTTAAATATTTCTTAGTTGCCATTTAAAATTTAGAAATATTTACAAATAAATGTTTATAAGAAATGATAACAGCTCCTTAAACATTAAAATCTGAACCTAAAAAAATACAACTTCTATGCTATATTATAATTGGAAATTATATTAGCTAAAATTAGCAAATTACAGAAATTGTCTTCATTACAAGGATTTTCAGATTAAAAAAAAAAACTTATTTTCTAAGTTTTTAAAACCTCCAAATACCAATAAAGCCTTTTTAAAATTTTTTCTAGGAACACACCTCATATAAGGTGGCGCTGGCCACTCTTTAAGTTACGTAGTTATCATAATGTATAGTTTTGTTATTACGTCTAGTACTTTTGTTAAGTGCATGCAAATACTACTCGTTATGTACTTGTTGTTATGTACTTGTTGTTATGTACATGGTTGTCATGGTTATGATGCTAATATTTAAATAGTTAATAGCCAAGAATTTGGTTTAAAAAAATAGAAAAATTGAATAGAAAAGTAATTAAAAAATTTTTTTTTTAAATAATATAAAAGAGTAATTAAAAAAAAAATAATTAAAGAAAACTTTTTTGTTTGAAAGTTAAAAACAAACAAAGTTTCACAAATTAATTTAAGTAGAAAACCAAAATCTACACAATAATTTAATTCCTAAGTTTTATAACACTAATTTCACAATACACCAAGTCAACTAAACAAGTAAAATTATCTATACATTTTCGAAGACTCAAGCGCGTCCGGATACTTATCCATTAGATATACTACCAGTTTATCAATATATTCTCGTAGTTCTCGGTTTTCAAACTTTAGTTCTAAAAAAATTATTTTTATTTATTTTGATAGCAAGTTTACCATTTTTGAAACATTTAAAAAAAAATTAACAATTACACTTTGTATCAAAACAAAACTCCATAGGCATCATTTTAATTTTCGGTAAGTCGAAAAGAAATAAGCAAATTTTGAGAATTAGTGAAGGTGTGTGAAGAATTAGTGAATTAAGTGTGTATCAAGAATGAGGCTTTTTTTCAAAGAATTATTTTGTTATATATCAAACAGTAAAAATTCATTGTTTTAGTAAAAAAACAATATATCTTATAAACATGAAGATGTTATAATATAAACAGGTTATAGCAGGTTAGCCCAAAACAAACGGAGCATGTTAGCCGTATGTGTTAGCGCGACCTGTACACATCAATATTAAATAGTTTGTTTACATTTGTAAATATTTTTTAAAATGAAACTTTATGCCTTTTAGAGTTAATAGAGTTTGATATTATTCAATATGTACAAGTACGATATGTATGTTCAAAAAGTAAGGTGACTTTTCAAATATCGCAAACAGTATACATTTGAGTTTCAACTGTATAGCTTTTTTATTTTTAAAAATATTAGACGTGTTTTGGTGTACAGAAAATAACCACATTTTCTGTTATATAAAAAAATTGATCAAAGTATTTACATCATATTTTGTGTAAAAAATGGAAGTGCTCCAAAACACTTGTCGGCATTTTTTACTCATACACAGAGCCTGCTAAGTAAAAAAATTAAAAGCTTTTTTAAGATGGTTGAGAAGATGCCAATGACAAAACTCGTGACAGTCAAGCACGTCAACGTCGCCCAGCACGTCAACAACTGATAGAAACAATGAAGAAGTTTGTTTTGAATAATTGTCAAATTACTATTAGATAAGTTGATGAAGATGTTGGCATACTAGTTGGTTCACGCCATGCAACTTTTTCAGATATTTTAGACATGAGATGTATGTCAGCAAAATTTGTTCAACAAATTTTCTGCTTAATTTTAACCAGAAAATCTGTGAGCGATACTTACAGCTGATGAATGACGAAGAATGATGTCAATGATGACCCTGATTTGGTTAAAAAGATTATAACTGGTAATGAATCACGAGTATATTGTTATGAGATCAAAACCAAAGCCCAAAATCCAAATGGAAGTATCAAATGGAAGTACATCAAGCGAATCAAGAGTAAAAAAAAAACATGCCAAGATTGATAAACAATCAAATTATTGTTTACTATTTTCTTCGATTACCATGGTGTGGTTCATCAGGATTGTTTACTATTTTCTTCGATTACCATGGTGTGGTTCATCAGGATTTTTTACTATTTTCTTCGATTACCATGGTGTGGTTCATCAGGATTTTTTACTATTTTCTTCGATTACCATGGTGTGGTTCATCAGGATTTTTTACCACAAAGTTGCATCGATAAGGAATATTACCTTAATTTATTTAATTTAAGGTAATACTCCTTACTTATTTGAAAACAACAGAATAGAAAATAAAAAACCAAAAGAAACCGAAGGATTGTTCTTGATATCAATCAATACACCAAAACTAAATTTTTGTCAGTCTTTATAAAAAAACACCAACAAAAATCGAAGTCATTCAACTGCTGACATCAACAAAAAGACTTTTATTTAAACTTCACATAAAAAATATAAATGTAAAATATCAGATAAATTTAACATTAAAAAAAACAACAATCTAAACAAATATTCACATATATATGAATATAACATATATAAACAAACATAAATATATAAAACATATAAATGGTCATCATAACAACATATAAATGGTCAACATAACAACGTATAAATGGTCACTATGTTTTTCATAAAATAAATAAAATAAATAAATTTAATTTTTATTTAATAAAACTTTTTAAATTTTATAATTTACAATTAAAGGAAAAAAGTTCTTACGTTCAACAGTTTGTTTAAGTTTTAGATCGCCTGATAATCTTTCGGCTTTAGGGGAACCAGAATTTGATGATTGACCAGAACCTAATCCTGTTCAAACATAAATCTTATAAATCTTAAAAAAATTTTCAGACAAAGAAAAAATAAAATAATAATGAAAAAACAAAGTATTTTTGTTGTTGTAATAAATGCACTTTATACATATACTCTATGTATATGTATGTCCAAAAAGACAGGAAGTAGTAGAGTTCGGACTGTTGTAACTGTAATAAAAACAATAACAGAAACAATAACTATTGTTATTTTATTATAATACTGTAATACAATAGTATTAAATATTGTATTGCAATTCATCTTCATAATACAACAACAATATCTAAAAAAAAAAGGTATTGTAATGACCCACTACAATAACAATAAATATTGTATTGTAATTCATCTTTAATAATACAATAACAATTTCTTGTTATTGTAATACAAAAAAATTATTGTAAAAAATAATATATTTTTTACAATAATTTTTTGTACAATAAATAAATTTTATTAACAGTATAGTCTCTGAATAATGTGACCTTGAAATAGAGTACAACTAATATATAATTATTGATTCTATTTCTATTTTATTTACTGAATATCACTTGCCCTAGTTGCAAACTTTAAATAGCTCTATAAAAGTGAGATTGATCTGACCTGTTCCTCTTTTTTTGTAACTTTTCTGAAAGTTAAACAAGAATACATAAATCAAGAACAATATTTGGTATTCTCAACTGCCTCATTTTTCAAAAATGACCCCACTTCAAAATTTAACGTCAGTTTGATAGGTGATGAGTAACTGTAGAACTGAAACTGTAGAAAAAATTGTTGCAAAATAAAAGTAGTTCACATTTTTAGACAACTTAATCGATAATTACCCAGGTCAATGGTTCACTGATTCCATAACGCTGTAACTTATAACTCATTAGCGATTAATTATAATAATACAAAGAATTATTTTTACTCGCTTTATGTAGTTGATCAATTAGTTTATATGTCATTATCAGGTTAACATTTTGTAATAAAATATACCACAAAAGTTATTGTAGTTGTTTTTCATCAAAACAATACAATAGTTATTGCAATTGTTTTTCATCCCAGCAACACAATACAAAAGTCATTATAATTATTTTACATCACAGAAAAAAAATAATACAATAGTTATTCTGACTGTTTTTCATCACAGCAATACAATAACAATAAATATGTTTAATTGCATCTCTCGTATTACAATACAATATTATTGTAATGTGTTTTTGTATTTAATTGTTACAATTACAATTACAACAGTTCGAACCCTAAGTAGAACCTTAATAATACTGAAACCCTCACAGATGACTATTTCAGTATGACCTTATCAGTGACACTTTATGCCCAGCTAAGCTATATATATATATATATATATATATATATATATATATATATATATATATATATATATATATATATATATATATATATATATATATAGATAGATAGATAGATATACACATACATACATACATGCATACATACATACATACATTCATACATACATACATACATACATACATACATACATACATACATACATACATACATTAATATACATACATACATTAAAACTTATTAAAACTGCAGGTTTGTTTAAAGCCAGAAAATCTGACATCTGAATTCAGGGTGACCGGTATTTGTCCTCTAGACAGGATTCAAATCCTAAGACGTATTCCTTCAAAGAATCGTAATGTTGGTGGAGGCACAACTGCAACAATTTTTAATGATACAATAGAAACCATGCTAGAGAAACACTGTAGACAAGATGGAAAAAAACAAATGAAGAGGGGAAACAAAACAATATCAGAAAAACAATGATAGCATTAAGTGAGTTAAAAACTGGTGCAGGATTTTTGACAATTTTATTCTTGAAGAAGAAGTCCAGTGAAACCAATAGAGCCTGATTAGAAGTGATAGAAGTTTAATAACGGTCTGAATGAAAGATGTTGAAGATGTTGAAGCAGGAAATACAGAACAGAGCAAAGACAATTTAATGATTAATTCAATGGGTTGTTGTTGCATACCCAGGGCACTGTGCACCAGAGAGACCGCCAGGTTTTTTGTCGTGGCACTCAAACCAAGTCCTTATTTTATGAAAGTATTATATATATTGTTTTAGAAAATATATTTTTTGAAATCGAAACGCGTTGCTATCATACCTTTTTTGATATAAATATATTATAAAATGGTTATAAAATTTCTTAATTTTTCGCTGGAACTTGACTTGAAAAAAATGTTTAAAAAAATGTTTTTATCCTTGGAAACCACTGATAGATATTTTTTTAATGGAGGTAACAAAATTTATTTTGTAAAATATATTGTTTAATATAATAGTTTAAAAATAAAATTAAATATGTCAAAAATAAATTTTTAACAAATTTTTATATATAATTAACTAAATATAAGCTATTTATTATATTAATTATACTGTAACCTCATATTAGATGGGCTTATAAATTTAATTACCCCCTGGACTAACTAATCAAAAAAAATTTAGAGATTAAAAAGATGGTAGTATAAAAATTTTCAAATTGCAGAAGGTCGTGCTACTTAGGAGTTGTATTTCTTTTACTTAAAAATGAATTCTACTTGTTGCTGTTGCTGGGAAAAGTATGGCGAAAGATCAAAATCATTGAAAAAAATGAATAAAAACTTAGAAGAACAAATTCAAATGTTTATCTTTCCTGGATATTCGATGAACAACGATTGCTATCCATCAGTTGTTTGTCCTGGTTGCCGAAGAAATCTTTACAGACTCAAAAAGGGAGACTCACCTCGTGGTAAATGGGGAGCTAAGGTTACCAAGGTAGTTTTAATGATTTTTTCCATTTATTTTCCTTTTTTTTCTTTAGTTTATTTATAAATGTATATTTATTTAGGTAGAGTGGAAAACCCTTTTGAGAAATAGCCCCAGAACCAGTCTAACTCTTCCAGATGAGATAACTAATTTTCCGACAACTAAGTCAAGTATATGTTCTTTTTGCTATTCATTGCCTGCACCTGGTTATTCTCATAACTGTACACCCACCAGTGCTGTGGCAAATATCATTACACTGTCATTTCTTCTAGGTTCTCTTCAAGCTGAACAGGTAAAAAAAACTATATTTTGTTTATAAGTTTTTAGTTTTTTATGCAAATTTCATTTTGTGAAAACTTTACGTAGGTTGCTTCTGGAATTATAAAAAGTAAAATGGCTACAGAAAGTTTGGTTGACGGATCAACATTTTGTTTATCTACAGGAGGAAATCCGCTAAAAGTCACAGTTGGTACACCAGAAACAAATCAATAAGAACTTCTATCAAACAGCTTTCCATCGAAATAATAAAGCAATTACAAATTGTGTTAGAACTTTCAAATAGAAAAACAAAAGAGATGCTTTCTACTTTACGCAAAGGTTTAGGAAATAAGCTTTCCATTGAGCCTAATATTTTTGGTTGTCTTTCTGAATTAGAAGAATATATTTCTAATTACTACAGTGTGCAGAAGTGCGAGTTTATTGATAGTAAAGGCCATTTAATTTTACGAGATCTTGTATATGTTCAAAATACATCAAATTTTGTACTTGACTTATTAAAATTGTGGGGTTTAGACCCTACTTCAGCCTTTATAAGAATTTCATTGGATGGTGGAGGTTCATTTTTTAAAGTAATCATCAATGTCTTTGATTGTCAAAAAGATAATGAGTCAGACGAGTACTTAAATAGTGGCGTTCAACGGTCTCAATTTTTAGCTATTGTTGAAGATATTCCTGAATCTAACTATAATTTGAGACTTGTTATAGAAAAATTAAATTTGCAAGATGTCAGTTTTTATGTTGCTTTTGACTTGAAATGTGGAAACGCACTGTTTGGTTTATCAGGACATTCTGGAAAAAAAGCTTGTTTATGGTGTGAAGGAATATCTACATTAAATTTAGGGACAAAACGAACTCTTGGCAGTATTGATTATTGGTACAATAAATATTTAGAAAATAACTCAGTAAAATCATCCATGCAAGAGTTTATGAACTGCATCAATCCTCGAATTTTATATATTAATTTAGATCCAAATACTTTAATTGAGCAACTCATTCCTCCACCTGAACTTCATTTGTTAATTGGTTTTGTTTCACTGCTTGGAAATTTTTTGTTAGATGTCTGGCCAGGATTTGATGATTGGCTAAAGTCAAAAAATGTTATTCAGCGAGGGTACCAAGGCAGAGGCTGGGACAATTCGAATAAAATATTAGAAAATCTTGATTCTCTTGAAACACAAATTTTAGAAACATTTACTTGTTTGATTCTAATTGTACAGTGTTTGAGAGATTTTAGAAATGTAAAAAATTGTTGCTTTTCCAGCAATTTACAAACTGGCTTCAAAGAAGCAATAACAAATTTAAAGAATTCATTTCTTTCCGCACAAGAAGTTGCAGTAAATTTAAATAAACAAATAAATACAACATGGAAAGTCCACATTCTACTGTGTCATGTACAGCCATATGTGGAACACCATAACAAAGGATTGGGTAACTTTGCTGAACAATGTGGAGAAAGTATTCATGCAAAGTTTAAGCCAACATGGACAAGGTTTAAGAGACAAATAGAGCATTCCGAACATGGTGACAGGCTATTATCAGCAGTAGTTGATTTTGGAGCAAAAAGAATTTGATTTTGTTTATAAATTTATTTATATAGTTATATGTATATATGTATATTTATATTGTGTGTGTGTGTGTATATATATATATATATATATATATATATATATATATATATATATATATATATATATATATATATATATATATATATATATATATATATATATATATATGTATATGTCTATATGTATATATATATATGTATATGTCTATATGTATATATATATATATATATATATATATATATATATATATATATATATATATATATGTATATATATATATATATATATATATATATATATATATATATATGTTTGTATGTATGATATGTATATATATATATATATATATATATATATATATATATATATATATATATACATGTATGATTATTTTATAAATGTACAGTTTTCTGAGCAATGCAGATAGTTTGTTTCAAATTTGAGTATACAAGAAATAGTTTTGAGTGTGTAGACAAAAACACTTAATACGTAGATTGACTCAATAGTTATTTTTAATCAAAGAGTTAAATTTATCTGTATCTTTGACATATTGCTCTGGAGCAGGAAGAAGAATTGTTCGTATTTTGTTGAATTATATACAATATTTTGATAAATATTATAAATATTTTGATTTTTTTTTGTTTGTTTATACTTTGTTTAAAATATTTGACATTTATTTTTAAAAATTATTGTAACGGGCATCTCAAATGTTTAAATGGGCATAGGGCCCCTCCATTTTACCCTTTGCCTCATTTACGACCCTTGACTTTTTTTTTTTTTAAAAAAAAAGGTTTTTTCTATTTTTATTAAACAAATACTTTTGAATTAAAAACTTTTTTTTTGTAACTTGCAACTAGCATACCTAAATGGGCTTGTGCCCCCCTTGTATTTACCCTTTTGCCCCATTTATGACCCTTAGCAATTTGTTTGGATTTTAAAAATCATTTTTTTTATTGCTATAAAACAAATACTCTTGAATAAAAAAGGTTTCATTTGAGTGCCACCACATAAAACCTGGCGGTCTCTCTGGTGCACAGTGAGGGAAGAACAAAAACACTACCTTAAACTATATTACACAGATTACAAAAATTCTCAAAATGGCCTAAAAATTTCACCCCATAGACATGCTGTAATTGTTGTTTCTACTATTTTAATGATTAAATTCCGAAGCGCGCGCGCGTGTGTGTGTGTGTGCGAATGTGTGAAAAATTCACTTTTTGGACAAAAGTATTTGTAGTCATTGTTTTGTTTCAATATATTACCATGTTTTTAGTAAGACCCTTTTTGGTATACTGAGTACAAAAAAAAAAAAAAAAGCAAAAGTAAGATATTTATAAATATCAAAAATGATCAATTATAACCTGCCATTTAATTGATTAGTTTGGATTTTGGGCAGGCAAAATATATGGATAAAGGAAATCATCTATTACATTTATTTTATTAATTCTTCTTTTCCTGAAAAAATGCACAATCTTAATACACAGTAGTAAATTATTATGTACTTAAGCCATTACTGAACTTTTTATTATTACCTAAGCCATTTGTATATATAATTGGATATAAATTTATATTGATATGTGTAGTTGTTGTTGTTGTTTTTGCGACAAATGGCAAAACTGTGCAAAATATTTTTACTATCAGATAATATTAAAGCGTTGCTTAAACATACAAGTCTCTAATATAATCAACAACATTTCTCAGTTTCAACCTGAGTTTCAAAAGAAACAAAATATTTAAAAATTTTAAATAAAGATAAAGATTATTAATACTTATTTGCATAAAAACTAACAGAAAATATACTTATTTTTTTATAGATTTTTGAAAAAAAACAGGTCACTAATTTTATTAAAATTTTTTTTTTAAATAAAATTAGTGACCTGTTATAATTTAATAATTTACACTACTAATAAACTTATATAGCTTTTTATTTAATAATTTTTCTATTGAATGAATAAAGTTGTTAATGAATAAATGGATAGCTAGAGTGAAAACCCAAAGAAATTTATATTTAAAAATATATCACATTATATATATATATATATATATATATATATATATATATATATATATATATATATATATATATATATATATATATATATATATATATATATATATATATTATATTATATTTAAAAATATATCACATTGATATATATATATATATATACACGCATATCTTTGCATACTTAGCATAATATTAAACGTCATTGATGATATCATACTGAAATATAAAGCTGCCAGGGCTTTCATACCTACATTAACTGAAGGTTTGGAAAGTTTCATCTAGACATGAAGAACTTTTATAGCGACATAAAAAGCATTTTTTTATTATTTATTATTATTTTCTTTTTCTGAAAAACTGTTAAGATTTAAGTCAGCCTTCTTAAATTGTGCAAAATATATTAGGACATACTGATCTAAATATGCACACACACACACACACATATATATATATATATATATATATATATATATATATATATTATATATATATATATTATATATATATATATATATATATATATATATATATATATATATATATATATATATATATATATATATATATATATATATATATATATATATATATATATATATATATATATATATATATATATATATATATATATATATATATATACATATATATATACAGGGGTCAAAATAAATGTTGGACATTGGTGCCCCCAAACTGTTTTTGAGACCTGTTTAAAAGAAGCAAACCACTATTGCTTGTTTTTATTGAAGAAAAAAAATATATATGCACACATATATACAAATATATACAAAGACAAAGATTTTTTCTTATGAATAGAGCCACATCCAGAGCACTATGATTGAGGGAACCTATATTGGTTGTAATAAAACCAGTATAACTGTGCTACATTTATAAATAAATATATAGAATTATAATTGCAACGCTATAAGTCTGCTAGTTCTTGACGTTGCTAAAAAAAATAAAATTGATTTGATCACAAACAGAAGTTAATGATACTCTAAAATGATACCCCCCAAAATGTCTGGATGCAGCCCGTACTAAGCATCCTAAAAATAATATACCATTTGCTGTTGATTCAGTGTGCCCATCATCTTCATTATTTTCTATAAACTCAAACATCATTTTTGATGCAGACATTCCACCGCTTTTTGTTTGAATTGATATTGGACCAGTACCATGAGATGCAGATGTTAAGCACATAATTTTTCTTGATGTATAATACTCAAGCGTGGAAAGACAATTACACCCAGCAACAGTTAGTCTAACAATATCATCTCTAGATAAACCTAAATATTTACCAGTAATTTGAATTAAAGTTCCTCCTTTTGATGGCCCTGAACTTGGGACAACATTTAATACTTTTGGGGGGTAACATTGCTCTTTAATAACTGGTAATTGGTTGTTTGTATCAGCCATTGAATACCTTTTATCCATATAAAGTTTAGAAATTTTAGGATCGTCTGCTATATTAGAATTGTTTTGATTTGAATCAAAAAACATTTGTGACACTAAAGCGTCTTTCACCACACTTTTTTTTCTTAGTCGTGAATTAGATATATCTTCTACGGAAACTGAACCTTTTATTGAAACTGAACCAGGAGTCATTGATATTCGTCTATTTTCTTCCTCTGATCGAAATTTTCGCATTGGATCTGGGCTTCTGCCTTTTAATCGATTTATTGTTTTATTTATAATATTTTTTGAATTAGAGTTTGCATTCATAGATTCATCTATATCATAAAAGTCTTCAACCCAGCAGTCTATACATAATTCACCTTGAGGGTTGCTGTTTTTTTTATGAGGACCAAGTGAAACCCATTTTAAAAAGTGTTCTTCTGAAGGAATTTCTCTAATTGGAATAATAATTTGACCAATAATATCATCTTTGTCTTTGACATTAATTTTTAAAGAGAATTTGTTGTTTTCAGGCAAAGTGCTAAAAAATATAGAAATTTAAGTGTTTATACAGATATAATTAAGTAAAAAATAAAACAAAACCATAGTTCTCTATCAAACTCTTACAATTTTTAGGCCTTGTATTAAAGCAATATGCAATACACATAAAATTCAAGATTTTGCAGGCTTGGACAGAAATAACGTGCGATTGCAGGCTGCAACTGACCACGCCTATAGTTTTTTTTCTTTGCAGATTAACATTTAGGGATCCCAAAATGCTGAGACAAGTTGTGTTCATATTAAAGAAAATGCTTTTTCCTTAAAAATGTTTAAGCAAAATTTTTTTGATTTTTGATACAAATAAAAATAAAATAATATATTTGGTTTTGAGATTAGAGTAGTGCAGCTTGTTTTTAACAATTGTAAGTATAAATTTTTATCTAGATTTTTATATTAAAAAGTTATAGAAGATTATTATTGTACAATTCCTACTTTGATAAAAAAAAATTTTGTTTTACTTACATTTTAATTATTATTTGCGCCTCTCCCTATATTTAACACTGTCTAACTTGTTTTTAAGTAAGACAGTATTCAATATAGGGATAATTAACTAAATAAACTATAATTAAAAATAATGTAATGTAACTATAAACAAACAACAACATTAGTTAAAAACCATTAAACTATTTTGAATAAACATTTAAAGCTAAATAAAATAGTTATCTTTAAAGGATTCGAATCCATTACATAGAATCAAAATTAGAGCATCCACTGCACTATGCTAATTTTATGCTAATTTATTGCTAAATTATTATCTTATGCTAATTTATTAATTAAAAAGAAAAATTAATATATTTAAACATATATCATATGATCAACAAATAACACTTATTTTAAAAAAACAAAGCAAATATTTAAATTTACATATTTTTATAAAATATCTTTATAATATCTTTTTCTTTATCTTTTATAAAATACCTTTTATAAAACTTTAAAAATAATCCTGACAATTGAAGAATCAAAATATTGTTTTATTATTAATTATGATACAAATAATTTTTTGTTTTGTAAAAAAAAAAAAAAATGATTTGCTGATTGCAGCAGAAAAAATAATTTGATATCTTGAAAAAAAAATTTATGTTGACGTCACACTCTGAAACTGTTATGAATTAAATGCGCATGAAATAAATTAAGTCTGCAGATTGCGGTACATATTTATAATATGATATTATAAAGACTCTGAAAAACTAGAAAAAATGGAGAAGGCGAGCTTTGACTAAAACAACATTTTTAGTTTTATTTTTATGCAATTATAATTTGGAACACAACTTATCTGGGCACTTAGGGATCCTATTACTTCTAACTAAGGGTTACTTTTAATAATTTAACAATCAATTAATAAAAAACTTTAACAAAAGAACAATTTAAATCAATTAATTTTTTATTAAAGTTATGCATAATAATCTTACATTCCAATAAAGTTAGTACTAACTAAATGATCTTTTTTTTGTGTTTTTTAATAGAATTTTTCTTTTATTTACTTTAAAAAAGAGATTTTGTTTGAGTTTTTCATACATCAAAAATTATTAAATTTTCAAAATGTAACAGAACATTTCTTCAAACTAAATATTTATGAAAAAAATAATGTATTTAGGTATATTTAAAAACTCCTTTAATGAGTTGCACTTCAAAACGAGTCTTTGCTGATCACAACTAAACTGCTTATGATTACAAAATAATTACAAAAGCTTTAATTTTATTGCTGGCTTTTTAACAAAAAATATAGAAAATATTTTTTGTAAAAAAGCTTAATTTGAAAATAATATATTATTAATTAATATATTATAAGAATATATTAATTCTATAAAAATAAATTTAAGAAAACAAAATCAAATAGTTTTATTCATTTAGTTTTTATTGACAAAAAAAAAAACTTAACATTATTTTGAGTTAATTATTTGCATCAAATGTTGAGAAATAAAAAACATTATTTTATATTTTTAAAAACTAAAAACAAAATAAACATTCATAACGTACATAACAATATTTCTACATTGTTTTGAGTTAATTTTAAATCTAAATTTAATGTGGCAATAAATGTAATAAAAAATAAATGTGATAAAAAATTATATGAAAAAACGATGTTTAAACCTTGTGACACTTATGAGTTACTCATAAATTTTTGTAACAAAACCCTGAGTGTTATGTGCCTCATATACACTTGCAACCTATGCAGCCTACAGAGCTACAAGTAACTTAATTTTTAACAAAAATTTATTTTAAAACTTTACCTTTTTTTTCGAATAAATTCAGTTCCTTAAGACTGTGGAGGTTGCCATTAAAGTTGAGGAGGTACAACATTTATTTTTTTTAAATTTTATGTGCAACTCCTTCACTCAAAAACACCTTGAAAATAAAACAACAACTTTACAACAAAACTACTGTATGAAAAAACAGGTTTGTTCTTCCAGAAACAGGGTGAATCTGAACCTAGAACCTCCTAATTGTGAGCGTTCTGCCATACTACTACAATCTAATACTGCTAATTATTTTAATTAAACAAACCCTTTGTTTTTGTTTAGTTTTTAAAATTGACAAGATTAGGGTTGAGTCAGGTAAAGAGACCCATATTAGATTTATAACAAGTTGCATGCATTAAAATGCTTAATTTTCAAAACATTATTGATATATTTTTTATACTATGATGGTTTATATAACCATTGAAAAATATTTGTAAACTATTTGGTTATTTTTACTTCATAACATAAAAATCAAATAAAAAAATTTAAGATAAAAAAAGAAAAAGAAAATTAGTACAAAAATTATTTCCATCTGTATTTAAATATCTATTTCCATTTAAATTCATTAAATTTTTAGTTTTTTTAATGTAGTTAAGCATAAAATTGTCTAGTACTATATGTTAGAGTAAAACATTAAAATTACATTCAAATTTAAATATGCAAATTTAAAGTTGCTAAATATTTTACAAACTCATTTTGGTAGTTTAAAATATAAGTTTTGCAAAATGTAACATATTTACATTATTTTTTAAAGTCACAAAATTTACTTATTACCAATGCACAGTGGGTCAGAAGCCGGCAAAACCATACAACAAAGTTTTTAAATTTTGAAATTTTGAAAAAGGCAAATTTTGCTCAATATATTAATAAGCCAGAAATTATATTTTATTAAAAAATAATTTTTCAATAAAACGCCATATTTGTTGTTTAAATATTTCCTTAAATACTTTTTATCAATAACAACAAAAAAGTGTGAAAATTTTATTTTTTTACATCTTTTGAAAACTTTGATTTCTTATTTTAAAGAAGTTTAAGTTTATTTTTAAACTTATAAATGACATTTAGTATTATGCTAATATTTAAATCACATAAAAAAAAAATATTTTTTGCATTTTGTATAAATATTTTCAACAATGCAAACATCAATAATTCTAAGTTATAAGTTTTTATTTTTTTCAAAAATATCATTTAAAACCAACGGATCAACTTGTATCAACCGCTTAAAATGATATATAATTGAATACCAATATGACATTGATCTTGTGGTATAAAAATTGGCTGCCTATTTGGCTGATTTAAAATTTAAAAACTGCAGTTTGACTTTATAATAATTTTTATTAAAGACATAAGTTTAAAATTAAATATTTTTGTATTTTTTAATTGCTTTCCAGTAACTTCCTCGTATTTGCTCAATGAACATTTAGATCGCATTGAAACCATTATTCCTAATTTTTTATGCTACCGTTTTAAAGTAATAAAAACTCAGAGACTGTGATAAAATATGAATTATATACTTCTATGTAGTACAAGTTTGGGACATAATATTTATTATTTATTTTATAATTTCTGAAAACAATAAAATTATATGTTATCGATAAAAAACACGATAACAACCAATGAGAAATAAAGGAAAGGAACTGAGTTTCATAGTTACTGCTCGTAAAAAAATTACTTTATTAAAAACATTTTAAATTACTTTCTTTCAAATTAAAAGTATTTTATTGAACAGACAATCTCTTAAAAATGGATAGGAGATGTCTTATGAATTATATAATGGAAAATAATTTACTACAAAATGATGATTTACATGCAAAGATTTTGCGTTTTGTTTCCCAAAGCAATTTTGAAGAATCTAATGATAACTTGTCAATTATTTCGAAATTCATTTACCAAGCTAAAAACAAGTGGAAAAAATCGAATAGAACAAGTGCAGTATTTGAAAAAAGATATAAAGTTTGGTTAAACCAAACTATATTTGACTGTAAAAAAAAAAAAAAATCGAAACAAAAACCTGTGGTATGTTTACTTTAACTATGTGTAAATTTATTATATGTATATTTTATTTGTATTATTATTACGACGATTTAATAATTGATAAAATAATATTATACTTTAAGGTGGACGCCCTTCGATTTTGTTTGAAGATGCATCTGTGAGAACTAAACATCGCATAATTAAAGAGCTTTTGAGTAAATATAATTTAAATAACCTTTTATATGCAGCTAGTAAAAGTTTGAAAAGGGATAAAAGGTTTTTAGAAGCAAAAGTGATTAAAAAAATATACAACAAAGAATTATTGCCAGAATCACTTACTTCAGAACAATCATTAGCGCTAGTCTTAGATGCTAATTTATCCAAAGAAACTTATCATCATTTAAGAAACAATGCTCTTCCATTCAGCTCTCTATACCCATCCTATCATATTGTAAAAGAGGCTAAAAATAAATGCTACCCTGAAAACATTCAGGTCAGTGACTACTCTGCAGAGGTTCCATTACAAGCTCTTCTTTTTCATACTGCATCAAGAATATGTTCAGCTTATAGTGTTGTGTTAAATTCACCTGTGCTTAAAGATTGTACTAAACTATTTATAATATACAAAGCTGGTTTTGATGGTGCAACAGGACAATCTGTTTATAAACAACTGTCAGATGTTTCTAGTGAACTTCATACATATGAATTTAAATATAGAAAAGAATCAAATGAAGTAATTCTTGCAGAATATGAGTCAATTATGGCTTTTATTAAAGAGATAACATTATCTGTTGTACCTGTTTTATTGGAGGACGGTACAATAAAGGAAGTTGAAGTACAACATATTGTAAATTTAACAATGATAGATGGAAAAATTCAAACTATTATTTCCACAGCAACAAACTTATACCAATGCTGTTCAGTGTGTGGTGCATCTCCAATCGAAATGAACAATTTATCTTTAGTTGTTCAAAAAAAAACTTTAGAAGGCAATATAAAACATGGTGTTTTAACTTTGCATGCTTGAATAAGGTTTTTAGAATGTATGCTCCATATCTCTTATAAGATGCTAATTATGAAGTGGCAGGCTAGAAATCAAGACGAAAAAAAAATTGTTAAACTGAGAAAGCTTGAAGTCTGTGCTGAATTTCGAACAAGGATAGGTCTTGTCATAGGCCAATCGAGAATAGGTGGGGCAGGTACATCAAACGATGGCAACACAGCTAGGCGATTTTTTCAGCAACACGATGTCTCAGCTAGTATAATGAACATCAATGTAGATCTTATGAAAAGGCTTCATATTATTCTGGCCACAATATCAAGTGGTTATGAAATTAACTCATCCAAATTTAAAACATTCTGTTGGGAAACTGCTTTGCTCTATGTATTCCTGTACCCTTGGTATCCTATGACTCAAACACTTCATAAGATTTTGACTCATGGCTATGAAGTCATTGAACTATTTACTCTTCCATTAGGTATGTTTTCTGAAGAGGCTTAAGAGGCTACCAATAAGGTTTTTAAGATTTTTAGTGAAAATTTTACAAGAAAATGCGATCGAAAAAAAAACAATATAGACCTTTTTATCCTCGACTTTTATGTGCATCTGATCCTTTAATTTGCACATTAAGAAAGAAGATACATAACAAAAAAAAAGTCTACCATCTGGTGTACTTGAACTATTGCAAGAGCCAACGATAGAATACTCTGCGTAAAACATAAATTTAAATAATATCCTTGTTGTTAATTTTGTTGGGTAAAAACGGAATTTTTTATAAATGGAAAATAAATGAGTTTTTTAATAATTTCCGTAATTATGTAATAAAATTTGAAGTTTTTAAAAAACAAAGGTTATTTTTTCCACAAATTATGTTTTTCAATATAACAAACTGTTTCTAATTTAAAAAAATAAAAAAATTTGGTTATAGAGGTTTTGGCTAGAAAATGTCACTTTTGACCCACTGTGCAATGTAGAAATTATTATAATAAAGCATTAAAATTGAAAAATAAATAAATTTTTATAATTTAATATTATAAACTCTCATTGTTTAAAGTTATTACTTTTAAATTAAATTTAACATTTAACATTTTATAATAATGGGATTATTGTCTTATGATGGGATAATGTACAAATTTAATCATTATTTTTTTAAACAAGTCAGTTAATGCTGATGCATTAGGCAATAAGCAATACAATAAACATGTCAACCTAAAGCAGCATAATTTATTTTGTTGATAAAATATTTTTTAACAAACCTCAAAATATTTTTTAACAAATTACTAACCATCTAATAATAACAACTCTCTGGAACAACTCTCTTATAAATAAATTTTATTAAATTTTTTCATTGATTTTTCAACCATGTTTTTACTTATCCGTGATAATCAATCCTCAAGAGAATTATTAAATTAAATAACAAACAAGCTACAAAAAAGAAAAACTTACAATGTTGACTCCTCATTCCATTTAGCATTTCGATCTCGAACTTGAGAAGTACAACATTTATCTTTACCAAACCCAAATACTGCCCATGCTAATGGTTCACCTTATAATTTTAACAAAATTTCTGAAGTGCATTTAAAAACATATCAACTACAAAAGTATAATAATAACAGAAAAATTTAACAACAAAATATAAAAATTTATAATAATAATAATAAACTACTTAAATACAACTATGTTTCATTCTCAAAAAAATAAATAAAGTGCAAATAGTTAAAAAAATAAACACTTTGTTATTGGTTTTTTTTTAATCAGAAGATTGTTTGCTCAAAAACCTTTGACTATGTCAAAAACCCTCGTCTATGTACATAGACGAGGGTTTTTGACACTACATATGTAGTTACACTTCACTGCACCTCTCCCTAGATAGTCAGTCAATGTATATATACACTGCAGTGTACACTTCACTGCTCTGGATTACTTTTAAATTGAAAATTTAATTATATCTTTTTTCATTATTTAGTTATATTATTTATATAATTATATTCATTATTTATAATTACTAATTGTCATAATTCAAGATTTTTCTTTTTCTTTTTTTTTTTTATTAAACGGATAGACAATAATTAAATAGTCTATTCGCACACAAATAAACGTGTGAATTGATATTTATTGTTTATTTACTAAATTGTTTATTTTATTAACTAACTTGTTTATTTTTATTACTAACTTGTTTATTACTATTTGTTTATTTACTAAGAGGTCGTCCATAAAATACGTACGTTTTTTTTTCGCTACTCCCCCCCCCCCCCCCCCTACAGCAAGTTGCCAAACGTTTTTTTGATTACTCTCTACCTCCTTAAAAGTATCTACGCGTTTAACCTTCCAACCCAACATTTTATGGTATTTTTTTTAATTTAGTGTCTCCATACTTTTATAATTGACCTACTGCCCCTTTATCTCAGAAACACCATTTGTACACCCCCTCTTCCTCTCCGAGCGTACGTACTTTATGGACGACCCCTAACTAATCCCAAATTTCAATAAGTTTTTTTGCATAATATTAACCGGTCGCATCTAGATCATATCCCACTCGCAACAATTTTGACGACTTTAGTAATTTGTCGAACAATATACGACTTAGGGATAAAGGTAAGTGAGTGTACATATATCGACTGAATTAGCGATTGGCGCAGTAGGTACAGTGAAGTGAATACACATCGACTGAGGGCTTTGGTTTGGAGATGCAGTATTCCAGCCCATTATTTCATTGATAGACAAAATACTAATATCATAAAATCGGAATATGATATTGACACAACCGTATTTTTTCAAAGTTATAGCGTTTTTAGCGCAAACCGGCAACCGAGCGTCAATACAATGTCAATGCCTCATTACATTTCAAGGGAGTTAGTGTTTCTCTCGCAATCTTGTATAAAGACAAAAAATTAGTCTGAGTTAAGGTAAGTTTCCACTCATCCGTTTTTTCACGGGAACGGCAAAGGAAAAGGAAAAATAATCACGTGGGCATGCGTATTATAAGTTTTAATTTGTCCAAAGCACTGATCTCAAAATATAACTAATAATCTATAAATATACAGTATTGGACAAAACATTTGCAACCAACATCAAACAATGCTAAAAAGTGTTCCTAATTTTACATGTCTTAGAAACGAACTATACTACCACAGCAAACAGTTCAGGAGTCTGGAGCCATAGCATGCCATGACATGAGCAATCAGCTGACAGGTGACAGCACACAGGCAGAATTTCGTTGACAAGTGCCACTTTGTAGCAGACAAAACAAGTGCAACTTTTATGATTTGTTTCATTTTCTTAAGTCTGGTCCGTGTCAACGTCACGAAAGTTTTTTAATAATTAAAGGAAGTATCTAGAAATTTCCAGAAGCATGCAGAAGCCTCCAGAAGTTTCCAGAAGAAGCATCTGGAAGTATCCAGAAGCATCCAGAAGTATCCAGAAGCATCCAAACGCATCCAGAAGCTTCCAGAAGCATCAAAAAAAAGCATCTAGAATCTTCCAGAACAGTTTCACACAGGTTCATTTTACTATATAAGAGACATGTAAACCGACATGTAATTCAGTCAGTATATGGAACTCAATCAGTCAGTATTATCAAGACAGTTTATCAAAGTGAGTTTTATCAAAGTATTTTATCGAAGAACATCAATACAAGAAGTGAAATACAACAAGTATTTCATTACATCAATACAGTCCACATCCAATCAAGACGTTGTGTTCCACAGAGCATTATTGTATCATCACAAGGTAAATGTAATACGGTAAGCCTTAAGAAGTGTGATTATTTATTTTTATTATTTAATGACTTCAAGTGCAAAAATGGCTCCCGCCATTTTTGGATTGGAACTAAGAAAGAAAATTATTGGCGATTACGTAAGTGGAATGTCACAAAAAAGTATTTGTGATAAAAATTGCGTGAAAAAATAGACCGTATCAAGACTATGTTATATATATATATATATATATATATATATATATATATATATATATATATATATATATATATATATATATATATATATATATATATATATATATATATATATATATATATATATATATATATATATATATAATCTTCCACATTCAATTGTTCTCTAGAACTCTCTTCAATTTTCTCTAAACTATATAATAAGTGCTTAACTTAGTCTTGTTTTCCTGCTTGCTGGAAAATGGCATCTGTTGTTCCAATTTTCAAAAACTCCAAGGAACATTCTTACCCTACATTATGCTATTCTTTGGATTATCGTTTACTACTATCGAATACTACTATCGAAACGTCTTCTTGGATTATCGTTTTCTACTTACTCTTTTGGAACTTTCTCCCATCTTCATGTTTTTTAGAGTCATAAAACCTACAACTTTACAAGTCTTCTGTTAACCGCTTCTTTGCTCTATAACTCTACTACTTTTTTTCCTAGTTACTCCCAACTTAATAGTGGTTGCTTTCAGCCTTGTTTGGAGTAATTTGAACTAAAAAAAAGGTGTCTTATCGTGGATAGCGTAAAATATTTTGAAAGGCCTATGGTGATCAGGACAAATCATGGAACCATCATGAGATATGTGGAATTTGCCGAACTTCTCTAGCAGAATGATTATAAGGTAAAAGATAAGTAATGCCTTTTGTTATTCCCAGAGTACAGAGAATTAAAGAAGTATCAAGATGACTTTTTTTTTATGATTGGTATCAATGAGGAGTATGGTAAGAGATTTCATCAGGACATCTCAAAAACAAAAAATACATATCAAGGACAATGGGATACTGTTATGTGTGATTAAATTGGTTTTTAGTCAGAAAAGTTATATATATCACTCAAGAAAATATGCACTTAAGAAAATCTCGATCATCGAAAGCACTTTTAAGAGTTATCAAACTGTCACATAGTGTTATTAGCAGTTTCGAAGACATTGAAAAGCAGCGGTTGAAAATTTTGTATTTAATTAGCCATTAACTTAAAAGTTGAAAAATTTGAAAACGTATTGCTTATATTAAATCTACAGCGCTATAGATTTTGAAATCACGCTATATATTTTGAAATTTCGATTTATATCATAGCATATTTTAAAGTAACGTATTTACTTTCGCAATTTTTTAACATCACTCTTTAGCTCCCGTTGGAAATCGATTGTTTTTCGAGCGAAGTCTTTATTTATGTATAAGCCAGCTCTACTAAGCTTTTTGTCATGAAAGTGTTTTTAAACAACTGTTCTTAATTTTTTATTCTTGTGTTGACCGATATAATTTTGTTGGAACACAGATCAAAAAAATATGTGAATCTTTTTGATACGTGATTATATCATAGTGTGACAAGTTTGCCAAGCTCCAAACCAAAGAGAGCGGCTTGTGAAAATTTTGTTGCAGTTAACCATGAATTCCTATGAATTCACAATGCTAAAAACAATGCGGAATTAGTTCAGATTCTTATTAAAAATTAAACCAAAATGGAATACAGAATATATCTATATTCTCGAATTTTCTCAGAATAAGTCTTTATTCTCGACGCTTATCTCAATTAAAATTCAAGAAGAAAATGCCAGTTTACTTAGAGAAGCAAAGCAAGTGCTTTTATCAAAATATTTTGACTTTGAACGTCTTTATCAAGGTATACAACAGTATAATAAAAACAGGATGGGGAATACATTTTGAGTGCTGCTTTGTGGAAGTGATTTACATCACACTCGCCATTTCAAAAAATTTACTTATTTCTGAAGCTGTTTGAGTGATTGTCTTTGTCAATTCAATATGGAGTAGTTGTTTCATACAAGACCGAACGAACGAATGAATGAACATAAATTTGTTTAACACGTTCTTTCAATAAAGACGAATTTTTGTGCGATCAAATCAAAATGTAGCCATTTACCACAGTCTTTAGACGTAAGCAATTGAAACCCAGTTTCTTTTTGTCGATCTATACTGAAGTTATTTCTTTTTGATCGATTTTCCAAGTTTATTGGTTTCTTGAATAATATATTGATTTCATTGGCGTAGTTATAAGTAAAAAACTCAAAATTATTACTTATAGATTAAACACGTTAGAAAAAAAAAATTTTTTAAAAATGGAAATTTTTGAACATTAGAAAAGATTAAAATGACATTAAGAAAAGTGACAGTTTTGAAGATAGTAAAACCTTTAGAAAAATATCTCAGATAATAAATTATTATTATACCCTTGGGCAAATTATTATAACCTTAGGAGCAAAAACATGAATTTGATTGAAAGCTAAAATATAAACGCTTTTCTTACAAAAGGTGTTTATGATATCAAACTAACAGAAAAAACTAACAAGTTCAAATTTTCTTTATTGAAATACCAATTATGGAACTTTTAGAAAAACGTTAAAAGTAAGTAAAGAAAAACAAACTTAAATACAAAAAAAATTATATTTTATTCTTTTTTATTATTTTTTGTCAGTACCCTAAGTAATTCAAACATTTTAGAATTTTATTTTAGAAGTTCAAACATTTTCAAACATTTTAGAATTTCAAATTCAAACAAATTCAAACATTTTAGAATTTCATTTTAGTAGTTCATGTATGCATATTATTAAAAATCGTATTAAAAAAGGCGTTCCCTTAAAAACCCTATAAGGCCGTTTACACCTAAATTGAATGACGCGTAGGGTCGCAGAGCGGTTTAAATTCATGATTACTGATGAATTTTCTGTATTCTAAAACATGAGTATGGAAAGAAAAATAATATAAATACAATTTTTTTTAATGAATTTTGACAAATTCGAACTCATGCAATTTGGATTACTATGGTTTTAGGAAAAGAAAATGAATAGATTTTTATTAAAATAAATGCTTTCATCCGATATTTTTAAAATAAAGTTCTAGAACAAATATTTTTTTAAACAAAGTAACGGAAATAAAAAAATAAAGTGCTGTATTCCTATTATTAGCATTTTCATTCTTTTTTATATTCAAATATTTTCTAAATTATATCTTGGCTCTCGTTAAGACCAATACCCATTGTAATAAGCTAAAAAATATTATCAAGTATAAAAATTACACCTAAGTAAAATTTATATCACCACCACCCATAAACCACCACCATTGTTTTTAAAAGGTTGTAAATCTATAATGGCTATAACTTTTAAACGCTGATTGTTTATTTGATGAAACTTAAAATATTTTTGTAAACTTTAGTCTTATTTAAAGAAATAGTTTAATTTTTCGGAAAAACAAATTTCCCACAATTAGTAGTGTGATTTCACTAATGAATAAGAGGAAATTCACTATTGTCTACGTTTCAAACTATTTTTGTTCCGTAGGATTTATTAAGCGCATTTTTTCGGAAAAAAAAAATACATAAGTGTGAACATAGAAAATATTGGAGTTTTTTAGTTATTGCAAAACCCATGATCCGTTCCTGATTTATTAGAAGCACATTAATATATATATATATATATATATATATATATATATATATATATATATATATATATATATATATATATATATATATATATATATATATATATATATATATATATATATATATATATATATATATATATATATATATATATATATATATATATATATATATATATATATATATATATATATATATATATATATATATATATATATATATATATATAATGTTAAAACATCTTCATAATGTATTTAATAATGTCTGGTAATCCTTCTTATAAATTTAATCTACTTTTAATAGATAATTGGATACAATTATATATGAAGTTAAGATATGTTCGTGAATCAATAGAAGAATTATGTTTAAGTCGAAGAACAAAAAAATTTAGTAGAACAAAAAATAAATAAAATATTTTACCATCTCCTTTTTTTGATTTGAGGTTCCTTGATGAATAAACTAAATCAAAAACATTAATATTTATTTTTCAAATTAAAATATAAATAAAAAAAAGGATAGATAAGACCAAATTTGTTATCCGTATTTCGGCCTAAGTTTCTTTGACAAAAATTTGTAAGCTACCACTATTTGACCTACCCAGTAGTATTGCCCCCCCCCCCACACACACAGTGGCGAATCGGGCCCCAGGGCTATTTTTTTGGGAGAAAAAATGACTAAAAAAATATATAAATAAAAAATCCCCAACACTGCCCCCCTCCTTAAAATAATTTTTGTTCCTACGGCCATATATATATATATATATATATATATATATATATATATATATATATATATATATATATATATATATATATATATATATATATATATATATATATATATATATATATATATATATATATATATATATATATATATATATATATTAAATATTAAATAAAGCGTTTAAAAAAATTTTAACAAAAATAAATAAATTTAATAAACATCTGCTTTTTTTATTAATATATGCAAAAAAAGTTTTTACATAAAAAAAAAATAATAATTTGAAAAGCATAAAATTTTTAACGGCAAAAAAGTTATTGAACTAATAGAAACCAAAATTTATACGAATCAAAAGCGTCTGTCTTTTACACCCTCATTCTTTATTTATCATATTTAACTTTATGGAAATTAAATTCATGTATACATTATTCAACAACTTGTAAGAAAGCGTCTTACCTATAACTTTAACGGTTTTTGGTTTGCCGACATTCATCGTTAAAAGTATTTTTTGACCCCTTTTAAACCTATATCTTTGTTAAGGAGTTATTTAAACATCTAATTAGCACATCTAAATTGAAGTTCATTTGTAACTTTTTCTTTAACGTTACAAAACGAAAATAAATAAATATCTTTATAAAGACTATAAACTTTTAATACGCCAACTTTTTACTCGCTTTAAACAAAATTTTGCAAAACAAAGTTATAAAATTAGAATATTAGGTGACGTCATAATTACAAACTTAATAAAATTGCATTTTTTCGTTCACCGTCGTTGTAAAATTGCGTCACTTCTAATATAATTCTTTTGCACAGCAAATATCGTTTCCAGAAAATTTAATATTTTAGAAACTTTCGTTTTAAAAGAAGTTCTATTAATATTTGTTGAGTAGATAAAAGCACGCTCCCCCTTCATTTGCTTTTTATTATGTTTTCAAATAAGCGTTACCCTAACAACCACGTCGGAATTAATGATTTATTTAATACTTTCTTTTATTTATATAACTCTAAAGAAAAGAGCTATACAACTTAAATTCTAATATTTACAACTAATCTTTTAAAAGAAGCGCATCTTTACATTAAAAAAAAAAAACATAACTTGAATATACAAAAAATCCCGGTTAAGATTCCTATTAACTTGCAAACGTAAATAGAACATTTTAATCCGGATCGGTTTGACTTAAAAAATCAATAAATGATATCATTTATTAAAGTAGACAGTTTTGGTCTAAAAAAAAACTACTGAAAAGTAGACATAATTTTCCCATGATGCCCCATAGGGCATCTAAAAATGATTTAAATTTTTTTTTTAATCATTTTGTAAAGCTTATATTTTTTCAACTAATTATCTTTTGGTTACGACCAATTTTTGAAGCTTTTGTTTTCAACTAATTTTATTATAAAATATGTTTTCTTCTTTAACTGATTTTACGATTAAATTCGAACCACTCCGTTTTCAAGTATACATTTTCGAATCATTACTACTGGGAATCTTCTATTTCAAAAAAGGAAAGTTTGGAAAAACGCAAAACCAATGGTAATAAAAAGGCCAGCAAAAAAATGTTGCTACCTTTTCTAAAAGTACTACATTCATACAGTTTATATAATACTTTTTTTATAAAATACTTTTTCATTTATACTTTCATACAACATTTAGTAACTAGTTTTTATTAGGCAGGTTTTAACATTGAAACTCATTCTGAAAACGAATTATAAAACTTGGTTCTTCGACCATACCTAAGAACGGTCTCTTATCTGTGCTGGGATACTGCAAGTTTTATAACTTCTTTGTTTTCTTTGGTTGTTGATCCTTTGACATTTTATATAGAAACATTTTTCCATAAGTTCCTTTTTGTTTGAGGTTAGAAGTAAAAAGTTCAGAGCTCAATCTAATATTTTTTTAAATTATTAAAATTTATTTAAAAATGGTGGATGAAACTTACAGATAAACTGGTCTTGCACCACTAATAACTCGTAACAGCTTGTATTGGTCAAAAGCTACAGTTAAAACCCTGCTTTGTTCTAACTCCTTAAGAATCTTCTGGTTTGCAACTTTTTATATCAGGGTGTCTTTAAAAAAAAAAATTGCAATCAATGTTAATAAACCATTTATGATTCTAGTGAATGACTTTTTTTCCAGGTAACTCAAAGTCATTTGTAAAACGCACGTATGAAAACTATAAATCTCTGAATAATCTTTAGTTAATAATTAATAAAGCAATTTGTAATAATTACACATTACTATATAATAAAAATTTACACCGACAGTTGCACATTAAAAATTTTTTAATAATGTAAAGAAAAAATTTTTTCACGAAAATCAATTTTCTCTATAACTACCGGTGGAGAAACATTATAAAAAGTATTTTAAAATTTTTTAACCGTAACTCATTCAAAAATTCCCTGCGCAAGCGCTCTATTTAGAAATGCCAAACTTTTTCAAAAAAAAGTTTTCAGGACAAATTGAAATTTCTTGTTTTTTAGTATAGTTAGTTAAGAAAATAAGGCTAAAATAAATATTGAAATATCTTTCATATATGATAAGGAAATCATACATTTGTTATTTAGAGAAAATATCAAGCAACAAAACCCCCTAAAAAAAGAATAACCACAGAAACATATAACAAAAAAACAAAAAAAACTTAAAACAATAACAAATGAAGACATAATCATAAGCTTATTTCTCACCAACTTAGAAATAGCTTTGTAGCAGGGTAGATGGGTAAATGTAGCAGGGTAGATGGGTAATATGTAGTTGGGTAGATTCGGATAATATGAGCACCTAGGTAGTATGAGCATCTCAAAAGATTGCGAACATCTTTTGAGATTGCTTATATTACTTATTTACGAATACTCATATTGCTCAAAAAATGTGTTTTTTAAATGAAGTCAAAGCAAATGTTTCTATGCATTTCCAAAAAAATCTATCGCAACTAGCTACAGACACAACTATAGTAAGCAATATTTGCAATGCTATACACATATTAGGGAAAACGTTTTTGTCTACATATTCAACTATAAACATAAGTAGTTGTTCGGGACTTGATATTTTTTCCTTACGGCTAGTAAGCAGCATTCTACAGTCCAAAATTTCTTCGTACAGTTCTCGTCCATCCACATCAAAACTGTAGACTTCGCCAAATTTTTTACATTGATATTTTAAGTGATTGATTTCCGTATTGAAGCAAAACCCTTGCACATCAAGAAGCCAAATTCCACATCAAATCCAAATTTTTCATCAATTTCCATTAATCGAACGCTTCTTATTTTCAATTCATTGAAAAGACGGTTGACAGTCCTTTTTATTATCTTTTCCATTTTTTCTTTTGCTGTAAACCCAACATCTCTTGATATTTTACCATCCATTTTTTGTTTTCTTCTTTGATGTCGTTCAAATTCAACACCCCATTCGCTGCAAATTTGAACTCCTTCTTTTAGTGAGTCATTAAATAAGACTTCTTTCTTACTGTGGAAATAATTTTGGAGCGATTTCAAATCTAAAACTGCATTATGAAAGTTCATTTTAGGGTGCTGCAACCCAGGGCCAGGTTAAGTACTTCATACTTAATACTTTCATGGTGATTCTAAGTTAAAATTAATAATTAATTTTAACTTAAGTATTTTAGTGATATACAATGATAATATAAAAAAAAAATATCAAATATAAAAAAATAAATCAATTATACTATTTAAATTAATTTTTCTATTGTTTCGCAGTGGAAGCTATTAAAGTTCCTCCACTAACAAGGAACCATCAGACCGTAATAGTCTTAAGAGAAGAAAGAAATATTTATATAAGTGCCAGGGAATGCTAGATAAATTATAATATTTGGACAGATGTCCAGTATTGAGAGGTAGTGTTTGAACGGGGAGTACTATGCCGTGATTACGTTTGAATTAAGCGAGTATTGGTTATGTTAGATTTAGGTAAGCGTTGTTTCAGTGTTCTGAAACAACGTTAATACCGTTTAGTGGAGATGATCGTTTTAGTGAATTTGTTAAGATATCATCAGATATATGGATATCCGGATATCATCGGATATCCGGATTTAGATAAATCAGATATCCGGAAGTTAGATAAATCAGATATCCGGATACCGGGATTGGAAACCCTAGATTAGTATAGGTTTTCAAATACATTTCGTCTGCATTTTATACTTGCAAATGCTGATTTTAGGTCAATGGACGGTCAAAAAGTTGTACTGCAAGTAATCTCTAAGATATCCATGCTGTGGAAATTCACAAGAAAATGTATGATATAGATGAAAAAAAGAAAAGATTTTCTTTTTTTCATCTATATCATACATTAGTTTGTTCGTGATCTCATTAACGTCTGGAATCATTTAAAATCGCCCAGAAAACACTATAGTTTACCCACTGTTAATTTCATCATCGTAATGCCTCTTGTGTACTTTTGGGAGCCTATGAGCATAGACCTATTTATCCGTGTTGACCAAAGATACGGTTAGCTTTTTTAACTGCTAGAAATTAGAACGAATTTGCCGCACGTGATGCTCCAGGGAGTTTTAAAGTTCTTCGACCATACCTAAATCAAGCTTTAAGAACCACAGTTTCTTGTTAACTTAGTTAACCATTCTATAATTCTGTTTCAAACAATTATTAAAATAGCTGTTTCAAGTTGTTCCGTTTTGGTCAAAAGTCCAAATTCTCTTGATTTTGATTTCTGATTGTCGTTAATATCAAGAGCCGTCTATATAGAAAATATTTATTAATAAGTATGCACATTTACAAATTAAAGATGTTTTTATTCGATTTTTCAAATAATTATTAATCATCTTGTAAATAGAATAACCCTTTTAAATTGCTTAATAAGCTTAATGAGCTTACCAACGAGTTTGTGAGAGGGTCTAGGGAACCTCAACACGTTTGTGGGAGAGTCTAGGGAACCTCAACACGTATGCCAGAAAGAAACTTGGACTTTAAAATGCGTTTTTTCAAAATATTTTCAAGCTACTAATATAACTTTTTCAAATCTAACTTTTTTATACTAATCTTTTTCAAAACATTTTCAAAACGTTTTAGAAGTTGCAAAATGACTATGCAAGTTAATAAATGCTAAGAGCCGCTCAACAGGTTTTCCGTTTTGTACATTGGAAGTAGAATCAACGATGAACGTTACTTAAGGATGATCATATTACCTATAAATTCCATAACCTCAGTGGCTATTAAGTGAATGAGTTCTTTTCAAACCTTTTTAGATAAGTATGAGACACAATCTTCTCCTTTTTTTCCATGAGTTATCAAATGTTGGGCGAGGAAAAGATCAAATTTTACTAATAGCTCAATACATCTAATAAAGTTTCCATTGTGTATCGATCCTAGTTTTTTGTCTGATTCACGGAATAATAATCCTATGAGAATGAGCAATGAATAAAGTATCCAATTATTTTAAATTTATTTTTTTACCATTATGTTTGAACTCAAAAGTTATTTCCAATCGTTAAAAAAATAAAACGTCCAGTTTGCAATACGTCGTATGCGCTGTTATGCAAAGATTAAAAATCTCTGGGACATGAGAGGAAGTCAAGCCGATAATTTTTTTTTCAAATTATTTTTCTCTCAAATATTCACTTAAACGCTTTGGCTCCTCGAACTCCGTGGCCTACCGGCACTTGTCCAGTGTTGTCCAGTGTGTTTAAACCGGCTCTGCTGCTTTGCATCGTTTTTCGTTTCGTTTGACGCGCTTTCCTCTACCATTAAGTTCTGAAGAACTTCCACTATTTCATTAATGTAGATGTGTATAGGTTTTACTGATTCTGTTTTGGCGCTCCACCTGGTATCGGAATCGAACTTCAAAGTAATAGGC